GTTTGATTGGCATATATACCAATTGACTGATCTAATTTTTGATCGCGAAAGTTTTCTTTAATTGTAATGTAACTACAATAACACTTCATATTTTTACTTTTGACTCGAATTCTTGTTGTATAAAATTTGCTTATGATAACATGATTATAATCGGTGTACCACTAGGAAAGTTTACAAATGACAATTCAATTATATTGAACCGATTGTTTAATAAATAGACATAAAACACTTGAATATGAGGGCTTATCACATTTTAAACTGTTTTTATGCTACACACTAGCCTGTAACATTACAGTAGGAGTTATGCCGTGGTCGGTGAAGTTACGGATACTGTAGTAGAAACATAGGCGGTTTTGTCTGTATCTAAAATCAACGAGCAAAATGAAACTTACATGCATCTTTAATTCGAATTTGTCGATTTTATAAGTCGAATTGGCGTATCAAGAACTTTCCATTTCCAGAAAATTCAAAAACATAATATTCTGTTGTGCTATGAAGACATATTCTATAAACTACCAACCGAAATTGATCGGTCAAAAAATTGTTAAAAATAATTATTTATAATCATATTAATAGCAATCATATTTTTCAACCAACCGACGAGTTCAAGTCGCAAAACGAGAAGCGACTAAGACAGAGATGATAGTAGAATTCATACCAGATATTGGTGTTATTGAACTGAGTGAAAGCCATTGTTTTTTTTTTAAACAAGGGTGGAACAATACGAATTTTTATCGATTATAAAAACCTAACTTTTTGAAATCACCATTAAGGACCTACATCCTCTCTAAAAGTATCGATTTTACAAATGAGCCAATGTCTAAGGCATTCTGTGTTTGCCATAGACAAGACAACAGAGTTTTTGCAAGAGGTCAGTATATTTGGATGATAAACTTGTCTTAGCATAATACTAATATTTGAAAACAAGTTTAAAACATATAATTAATAATATCAGAAAATACTAAAAAAAATAATCTAAAATTGAATCTGAATAAATATGATCGGTTTAAATCAACGCTTTTTGTTGTGATAACGGAAATACGATTGATCCTGAAAAGGAACTTCAACTGAACCAAAATATGAAATTTAAAACTGTTCCAGAAAAGTAAAAAACAATCAAAGAATGAACAATTCAACTAAGTCGATGCAAGTCATATCTGGCTTATCTTCCTAGTATCGTAGATAATCCAATATCTCATTCCGAATGGCATACATTTATTGCATCTGGATAAATGTGATTGGTTAAAAACTGATTATTTTTTATTTTGAATTTTAATGAACCGACAACACAAACATGTGACGAGGAAAAACATTCTGGAATTTGCTTTAAATATTGATGGGTGGATAGATCGATTTGTTTTTAAGGATAATATTCATATCAGGAAGAGAACATGTTGATGCAATACAATAAATATGAACCCTGAACATATTTTTGTCATGTATGCTTTACAATGTTTTGTTTATTTTATGACAAAGCATATCAGTCCGTTTTACATAACTGTACAAAAATGTATGATCACCAAAAAGATAGGGTCTGTTTATGTTTCATTTGGTCTAAGACAACTTTATAACACCCCAATTCGTCACTAATGAGTCTTTTGTAAGACAAAACGCGCGTCTTGCGTACAAAAGATAACCCTGGTATCTTTGATCAGTTTTATTAAAGCGCAATTAAAAATATCGTTTTTTGTTTCTTTCAATGGGTTAATAACAGGTTGATTTTGCTTGTGTGAGTGAGTGTGAGTGAGTGGTTATTTGTATAACCTGCTTCCCAAAGTGGCGTTATATAGTGATTGGGTGATCTGTCTGTCTGTTCATCCGTTGGTCCGTTCTTCCGTTCTATCTTTGTGTCCGCTATTGTTTAAAAGAATAATATGAAACTTTCCCAGAATATTTAGACATAATGTACGTTTTCCCCTCTTATTTTATTTCTTTACTTTTGTATGACATGTCTGCACACTATAGTACACCTTTAGGGGTACCAATAAACTCATCATGGATACCAGGATTCAATTTGTGTACGCCAATCGCGCGTTTCGTCTACAAAAGACTCATTAGTGACACTCGAATAAAAAAAGTTGCAAAGGCCAAATAAAGTTCAGAGCAGAGAAGATCTAAAAATTCCGAAATGATTTGCCAAATACAGCTAAGGTAATCTATTCCTGGGATAGAAAATCCTTATTGCTTCAAAAAATTCAAAGTTGTGTAAACTGTTAATTTATAATTATGACCATATCAATGATAAATCATGTCAACACAGATGTGCTGACTACTGGGCTGGTGATACCCTCGGGGAGAAACCTCTTCTAGCAGTGGCATCCACCCAGTGGTTGTAAAAAAACTCATCACAATTTTGTACTCGAAACCAATTATGACAGTTTATTAAAACGTTCTCACAATCTTAACCATATAATGCAATAGGTACACCTCCTATTTTTGTTATCCTAATCCTTGTAATGTCTTCCTGATGAGTTTATTTACAACGACACGGACTTTGACATTGACTTACGGTGGGAAGGGGGAATGTTACCAATCTTTTATCAGCAACTCCGTCTAAACTCATATATATATCAATTGATTAAACTTCACACAATTTTAACCATATAATGTTATTGTGTGCCTCCTATTTTGTGTTTTGATCCAAGCTATTTGTTTGGTTCCCCTTACCAAAGCATTGACTTTGCTATTGCTTTATTTAGAGAGTACCCATTTTGTATATATAACTCCTCCTAAATCCAGAATTACAAGTTATTGAAACTTTATCACAATCCTCGCCATACAATGCTGTTGTACATCTTCTTATCGTTTTGTAGCAGAATAGTTCTCCTCCTTTACGCCTAGTAATAAGAATATCGTTGAATGCTGAAGTGCACCTCCTATATTGTTATTTATCTCAATTCCTTCGGGGCTTTCCTTACTAAAATATGGACTGTAAGGTGTGCAGGGGTATCATTTTGCTCAATGTAAATCATGTTTATGTTTGGTTTGTTTTTTGTTTCGATTTTGTTTTTAATTTGTCTTTTTGGGGAGAGGGCTGATGGGAGCGGGTTAATTTATAGCTGTGGTTTATCATCTAGTGATTTGTATTTGTCATGATAAGAACAAAAGAAGTGAAGCTTGAACGGCTTGTCCTTAAGGAGCACCTGCATTTACCAGGAAGTTTTGAAGGATTCATGTTGTACAATCTTCGGATTTCTATTTGGTTTTTTTTACACATTGTTATTTGGAATTTTAACCAATTGTCATACAAGAGAGATATTTAGCTAGCTTCATATTCCTGAATTGGTACGGGCATTTCCTGATGTAGAAAATGGTGGAATAAACATGGTTTTAAATGTCTCACTTGTATGACAACCGCATAAAATTTCATTATGTTGACAAAAATGTGTGAACAAAACAAACAAACAAACTTGGCCAAAGGAAATATTAAATAGTGACAACATACGTTACAATAAATTATGCTCTTATTTCATGAAAACCGTGCTTTTGGGGATTTTAGAAGATGGAAACTTGAACTGGATTTTCCAAACAATTCTTTTGCACTGTTTTCTTTTGTGTTATTCCCTTTCCAACTAATTGTTACTCTTTTGTTTTTCTTATGTTCTATTTTTACATCACTGTCAGGGTCAATGGTCAAATAGTACTAATAAAAACCAATCCGTCAATTATCTACTACCCTTTCAATTTATGGTCAATTATTTCAAACGAACATGTTCTATTTTTATATCTTTTCACTAACTTAGTACAACAATGACATTTGTTCTTTATCTAGAACCATTATGTTCATTATTGTTGTTTTATTGCCTTGTTTTGATCAGTTAATTACACTAATTCATCAATAATTTCAATCATACCAAAAATGAAACACATTATTAATAAAAGGTTCCAAAATTTAATTATTACGTACTCTTTCATAAACTCGCCAAACTATATCGATTTATGACTTCTTGTCAACACTATTGGATTAAATATTTTATTTTAGACTTTATTATAGTATATTTCTTTTTGTAGCATTCATATGGGACCAATGTACATTCCCAGCATTCATGAATAATTATGTTTTAGTCACTAACTTCTGAATCTATTTAAAGCATTACGTGCTCAGTGGTTTTCCTTCTGTATATAAAAAAGTTTGTAGACGGTATTTGAAATTACTTTCGGTAATTCAAATACACATTACTGTTTCGATCATTCCTACTTTATTATATATGATTTTCGATTTAACGTATTTTAAAAACAGTCATAATCCAGTACACATGATGATAACTTACCTTTGCATTGTGTTTACTATAACGGTAACTAATCAACGATGGCAACAGAACATATATTGAATAGTTGACTCGATAGTATAAAAATAGTTTTAAATTGCGTTACAATTTAAAGATTCATCCACCATTTTGGAAAATATAAAATCGAAACTACGGAATGATTGCTAATATAGTGTAGTTATACATACAACTTAAATTTGTTAATTGATTGTGCAGTTCAGGTTGGTAACTAATTATAAAAACTGTTTCTTATTCATCTTAACTACATTAGTGTATTAACTAGAAACACGCGATATTGTTTAGGTTTGGATATCTCTAATACCGATAATTTAAATTGAAAATGCTTAATTCTTTAAAGGAATAGTCTTGAAATTATTTCGAGTTGAAATAGTGCAAATATTTACTCTAGTATCATGAATATCTGCATGGACAATAAATATGTTAAATTGTGTATGACAGCAAAAGTAGACTTTGTCAATTATTATTAACACTAATAACTTCTATAAGAATTCAATGTTTTATACACAGCATATATTTTGCATCCTGAAGATTATCGTTGTGGTTTGTAGTATGATTACTGGAGACTTAAAAGTTTACTAGATCAGCTTATTTTTGTTAAAAGTATCCTTTGACGTTTTGAAATCTAAATTACTAAACGAAATGCTTTGGCCGATACTTTTATCTCAATCAAAGAGTTTATTTGTTGTTTGTATTTAACAGATTTTGACAAAGATGCAAAATCAACTTGAACTTAAGGCAGTTTCAGTTAGACTATACAAATATCTGTGTGAAGAAGTAGTTGGTTCTGAAAACATTGTCAGATACAGACGATTATATTACAAAATCCATGATGATATATCCAATAACATCAATTTTGAATTTATTAGCAGTGGAAGCAAGGCTGAAGGTTTGGATCTTCCAGGGAGCGATTTTGATTTGATGTTTCTTTTGAAATTTTGGGAAGTGTATGAATATACGCCTAAAGACAAAGAAGACGTTATAATGCTTGACACGAAGAATGCTTTACCAGGTTTTGCATTATTGAAGACGGAGGATAAGTCATCCTTTCCATACTCCCGAACAAAAACTGCTGATGGAAATCTTATTTCCAACAGTGATTTTTTTAATTTGCTCTGGAGCGTTATAGGACAAGATGCCAATTTTTTCGAAATTCATGGACCAAGTATGTCACATTCGTTTCTTGTCGACACTGACACGTTGTATTGTTTAAAGTGTCATACATGGCCAACGGTAGCAAAACAATGGTTGTTAAGATCTAGACCTTCTGGATGGCCGTCACAGGATATCATTTCGAAAATAGTTGCTCAAGGCTGTTTATTAGTACCGGTTGGGAGCAAGTCATCATGTAGCAAGGGTCATCCTTTCGAATGGCGATTTTCTTTTTCTCTATCCGAAAAACTTTTGGTTCATTCTTTTAATCACACCCAATTGCTCTGTTATGCGTTGTTGAAAATTTGGTTAAAGGAAATATTAAATAGTGACAACATACTTAACAATAAATTATGTTCCTATTTTCTGAAATCTGTGCTTTTTTGGATACTTGAAGAAGATGAAAACTTTAACTGGATTCCGCAAAATCTTTTGCACTGTTTTCTTTTATGCATTCATCGTCTTCATTATTGGATTGTTTGTGGTTATTTTCCAAACTACTTCATTCCTGAGCATAACATGATTGATGGGAAACTTTCTCGTGACGTTCTCGCATATCTTTCATTATATTTAGACAAAATGAACATGCGTGAAAATTGGAAAATAATGTTTTTAGGTCCGTCATTACGCAACTTTCGTAACCTTCCAATAAGCATTCAAAGAAAAATCCATCGTTTGAGTGAATTTGACGAAGCAATTTTGTTGCTTCACACTATCGGTAGTTTGATATTGAGTATATTGAGAGGTTTGAAAGGAGACGGTATATCTGCAAGTATAATTTATAGGATGATACACAAGCATCTACCAAATTCTGCAAGAAAAATTCTGATTTCAATATTTCTGAAAGATAATAAGAATATATTAACGTCTCTTCATATTGTCAATTGTAAAAACAAACGGGAATATCTTGGTTACAGAGAATGTCTATCTCGCATGTTGATAAATACATTTTATGATGCCGAGTCTGGATGGTTACTTCTTGCAGCTTTTTTTTACTCCACACAAAAGTATAATGACATGTCATGTATATTACAACTGTCATCGAGTATGTTTTCTTTGAAAAATCGTTTTGTTCAAAACATTGTAGACATTCACTCGTTCAGAGACTTATCGAAATTAGAAAAAATGATATACAGCAGATCATTTGTCAAAAGGATGAGATACGAAATTGCGAGAGTATTTCATATAGATTATAAAGATTTCATGACTGATTATTATCCATTTGTAACTGATGAAATTCCTAAAATAGGACTTGATGGAGGACTTCAACCATATTCTAGTAGCTTGTTCTTTTTTCTTAAATTTTTATATGGTCACAAACAAGGAAACTTATTTGAAACTCAATCTGCCTTGCAATTACTAGATAATATCTTTGAAGAAGAAAGCGAGAAATCGACAAATATTTTATGTTTAGCGTCATCCTATACGCTTCTAGTAAAAGCGTTTGTCCTTTTGAATGATGAAGAAGGGATTAAAACTTGCACTTTTAGATTTATAGCAGCAATAAAAAAATTGGATATATTTGAGACACTGATGAATTATATACAAGACAACGAAAACATAAAAATGACTTTTGAAATTGTGTTAAAATATTTTGACTTGCAGTACATCAAATAGACAAAAAAGTGACAAAAACATGCAGAACATATTTACATATTGTATTGTTTATAAGTAATATTGATGTTTTCCTAAAATACTGCCATTCTTTTAAATACTGTCTCACAACAAAAGATAGACTTGAATGCTACGTTTGAATATTACTTCACAATATTTAATTAATAAAAAATTTTTTGCTTTTTTAAATATATTTTTCTTAGAGTAAAGTATTCGTAATTGGGTAATATTTGGGATTTAGATGAAACTGTGTACGCATTAACTCGTTCATCTACATATAAGTGTTGAAAAAACAATATGAAAAATATCACGACGGGAACATGTTGATGAGATATAAACCCTAAACTAGACCGACATGCAGAGGCGGAATTTTAGAGTGCAATTTCACAAAGCAATAGCCCACAAGAAAACTTTTCTCCCTACCCAGATACATTTTACTGTCTCATAGACGACCACAATTCTTAGTTTTAAATGACGTATGCTTATCAGAGAAGCACAAATACCAACATTTAAGTCTTTGGTTTGACCTAGCAGGTAGGGTAGGCACTCGAGTAGGGCACGCTATCAAGAGTTTTGAATGTTTTGAATGTTTAATTTATGAGGACTGACCAAAATGTATTCAATAGAACCGTGCAAAAGAAGAAAACGTGCACACATTTAGAAATATGACCTATCTGTATATTTAAGAGTTAGCGAAATCATTTCATTTTCTATTAAACTATCCGAAGTATTATCAAATTATTTCTGCTGAGCGTTGGCAAGACACTACATGATACGCACTTAGTGGTAACTGAAAATTTATACATGTGTGTTAACTGTTACTTTAGCAATACAACCTTAGTAGCAATATACCAACTTTACCTGCATATGGGATATACATTTTCCAACTCATTCGGTATTCAAGAGCTTGCAGCTGCTACTCAGACTTTATAAAACGTCACCAGTGTCTGAGTAGAAAGTTGATGCACCAGGGTTAAATCAAAGAATGTCTCGTCCTTTTTCTAAAAAAAGTTCATCAGAAGATAACAAGACCTTGTCAACTTCCAAAATAATACACGATGGTCTTGAATAAAATTGAGAATGGAAATGGGGAATATGTCAAAGAGTCAACAACCCGACCAAAGTATAGATTCTACACAGCTACTTTAGTACAAGTAATCTTGATGTACAGTTCTAAAGATGCATATCAAATGTACATCTGTAAAGCTGTATATAAACTGTACAGCTGTAATGCTGTATGTCAACTGTACAGCTGTAAAGCTGTATATAAAATGTACATTTGTAAAGCTGTATATGAACTGTACAGCTGTAGAGCTGTATATAAACTGTACATCTGTAAACTGTATATAAACTGTGATGGAGGCACATCTGGACAAAAAATATGATAATATATTGAGTATACGTTAATCAAACAAATACCCTTACGACAAAGAAAACCAAAACATTCAACAGTCTTTTACAATAGACAATAGTGTATGCAATAAGTCACTTATTCAATCTTCCCAAGACCAGACAAGTTGTGAACAAATTTATCAAAAGCAACAAAAGATCTGCCACAAACACCAAATTCCAAAAAGGACAAACTCTTAAAGCTAAGACTTAAGACTGAGGATGCACATTTTTAGCAGTAAGTCTGTTTGTATTATCTGTATGTACTACTACTTAAGTGAACAAGAGTGCACATACACGCCGTCTTTGCTGATCATGGTTGACTTTTATGTTGATAGTCATCAAGATCAAAGTCTTGCACGTAGTATAACATTAACCTAACGTTATCGATATTCCGTGAATATAAGGACAAGGTTGGATAGATCTTTTTAGATGAAGATATTCACATTTCAGCCGTTCTTTACACCGAATATACTGATTACGTATAGTAAGTGAGAAACGAACCTAGTCACAAAAACTTAACATTGTCCAATGAAATATACAAATAAGGTCAGGTTATGTGAACCCTGTCAACGAACACGAACATTTCACAATCATGCTGTCCAGCGAATATAGTTGATATTGCCTTTTACTTAAAGTATTTAGGAAGCGCACATAATCCTGAAAATTTCCCTATGAAGAATGAACTATGAAATAAGTTCAAGGATATATAAACCCTGTCAGACGACACACCGAATAAAGTTGACTATTTCTTATAGTATAACGTAATGTTGACAAATTAACAATGGAAATAATGTCAAGGTCAGATGAACCCTGCAAGACGGACATTTACACATTTCAATCATTTAAACACACCAAAACAAAATATTGGTTCATTTCATAAGCTTAGTAAATAAGATATCAAATTCATTCGAGTGAAACGATGACAAAAAGAGTGAACCAATTACAAACGTCAAACTACAATAACACTTTATGCTTCTACTTTTGGCTTGAATTGTTATTGTATTATTATGCAGAGAACCAGCTTATATTTATATTTTAGTAAGTGGAGAACCACTTGAACATTTTAAAACTTTTGATCTGTGTGCTCGAATAATTCACATAAACACTTGAAATCTGATCATGAGGGCTTATCGCATTGTTTACTGGTTTTAATGCTTCACGCCAGGGTGTAACTTTTATGAAGAATTTAGGTTAGCGATTGGTCATAGTAGAAGCATAAGCGGTTTTTGAACATAAAAAAGCATGCAAAATAAACCTTCAAGACAATCAGTCCCCAAGGTCATCATGCATCAGCTCGGTAGTCAGTACTTTGCTACTGACATGATTTATAACAAAGCTTCCTTAAATTGATCATTATAAATTTATAATTTATTAAGAAACCCCCTCAAGCACAGATGACCTTAGATGGATTTGGCTATTATTTCTTGGTCCTTTTTGTTCATATAGCTCTGCAACTCTTTCAAATATCTTACATTCTTGGCTTTCAAGTATTCGGCTTTGAGCGTCCATGATAAAGGTAAATCCAGAAAAGCACTTTGGACCAATGAATTTCATAAAGTGTTGTTTTAATTTAAACATTGTTTTGAACAGCGGTATAGTATTGTTGTTATTGAACTTAATAAAAATCCTTGTTCTTGCTGAAAAATACAAATTTATATTGATATTGTGCATCGTGTTGACACCACCATTGATGACTTAGGTCCTCTCCAGTCTCTCTTGGTCCTTATTTGGTCATATAGTTCTTCAACAAACCTCTTGAGGCAAGATTGACCGTAGATGGATTTTGGTTTTTATTTCTTGGTCCTTTTTTGTCATATACCTTCTCAACGGTTTCGGTTATCATACAACCTTGGCTTTCAAATGTTCGGCTTTGAGCGTTCCTAATAACAATGAATAAAGTAAAACTAGAAAACACTTTGGACCCATGGAATTCTAAAGTGTTGTTTTAATTATATTCAAAAACCCTCTTTAATCCGTTCATTAATTGAATTGTTAGATTTCTGGAAGTTCAGTTTCAAAAATATCCATTGGTGCTTGGAAGACATTTTCTATAGAAAATGAAAACAACACTTAATAAATTAGGTGCGTCGAATGCACTTTTCTGGATTTACCAGCAGCAGGAACGCTAAATGCCAAATATTTGAAAGCCGTGATAGCTAAGAGCAAAAACTGTTGAAAAGCTATATGACCAACATGAACCTAAAAATATCAGCCAAATACATCTAAGGTCAACTTTACCCGAGGGAGTTTCTAAAAACTGTATAGCGGTGTTATTTTTCATTAGTGTTAAATTTTGAATTTTAGAAATTTTACGATTTAGGAGCAAAAAAGGACGAAAACATTTGGCGGTTCAATTTTTTCCGATTCTTAATTCGCAGTTAAATATTTTTTTCGGATATTGAATATAATTGCGGATACGGAAATGGTTACAGTTAGAAAGTTATAAAAACACTGACAGAAAGAAAACATTGAAACATATCTTTGCTGTACTACTGTATAGATAAAAGAAATTTAAGAAAACAATAATTTAAAAGTAAAAAGAAATACATATAGATAATGAAAAACAATATTTGAGTTAAAACACATGTTTTGATTTGTTTTTCACCTATTAATTAAATCCTTTCATTTGACAGCAATAAAACAAACTACCAAACAACCTGGCATTCTGTAAGATCAATATATAATTGAGATAGCTGTATAGTGTTATGAAAATCCAAATTGATTTGGAAAAGTTATAAAAAAAAATTAAAGGTGACTATCTGAATATAGTCCGAACTGAAAATTCTAGCTTTTTTTCACCTATTAATTAAATCCTTAAATTTGACAGCAAAACACCAAACTACCAAACAACCTGGCATTCTGTAAGATCAATATATAATTGAGATAGCTGTATAGTTTTATGAAAATCCAAGTTGATTTGGAAAAGTTATTAAAAAAATAAAGGTGACTATCTGAATTTAGTCCGAACTGAAAATTCTAACTTTTTTTACCTATTAATAAAATCATTAAATTTGACAGCAATACACCAACCTACCAAACAGCTTGCATTCTGTAGGATCAATTTATAATTGAGACAGCTGTAAAGTTTTATGAGAATCCATTTGAAAAAGTTATAAAAAAAATTAAAGGTGACTATCTGAATATAGTCCGAACTGAAAATTCTAGCTTTTTTTCACCTATTAATTAAATCCTTAAATTTGACAGCAAAACACCAAACTACCAAACAACCTGGCATTCTGTAAGATCAATATATAATTGAGATAGCTGTATAGTTTTATGAAAATCCAAGTTGATTTGGAAAAGTTATTAAAAAAATAAAGGTGACTACCTGAATTTAGTCCGAACTGAAAATTCTAACTTTTTTTACCTATTAATAAAATCATTAAATTTGACAGCAATACACCAACCTACCAAACAGCTTGCATTCTGTAGGATCAATTTATAATTGAGACAGCTGTAAAGTTTTATGAGAATCCATTTGAAAAAGTTATAGAAATAATTAAAGGTGACATCTGAATATAATTAGAACTGAAAATTCTAGTTTTTCTTACCTGTTAATTAAAACTTTTAATTTGACAGCAATGACCCAAATTACCAAATAACCTAGAATTTTGTAAGATCAACATATATTAGAGATAGATGGGCTGATTCAGATCAGTCTAGACTAAATTTAAAGGTCAATACAGGTCGAGACAGGTCGAGACTGGTCAA